GTTTATTTTTCTGGTTTTTTACTTGCACTTTCAAATAGTTCTTGAGTTTTAAATAGTTCAGTTCTATACTTTTTATAAAAAAATCACAAGATTATTCTTTTGTACAAAAGTTCTTTTTAAAAAAATAAAGGACTTTTGGGATGAGCACTGGGTGTTGTATGGAAACCAATTTGACAATAAATTTCATATATTAAAAAAATAAATTAATTAAATAAATAAGTAAATAATAAATGTAAAAAAATTTTTAAACAATCAAAAAATAATAAAAAAAATTAAAAAATAAAGGAGCAACATTAATAAAGTTTGAGGGGGAAATGTGACAATACATTTTTACCATGCAATATTAACACCCTACACCATTAGTTTAGTATTAAATTAGCATATTAAGAGATGAAGTGAAATTAATAAATTTTAAAAATTGCAATTTGTAATATAAAAAGATTTACAACCTTTAATAGATATAGAAAAATAACAAAAATTAGTATAGGTCTAGATAAAAAGTGAATACAAATGTGAAAACATTCTCCAAAAAAGCACCAGAATAGTTTAACAATAATTTATAGCTAAAACCTTATGTTACTGTAGCAAAGAACAAACAGTAACAAAGTGTGTGTGGGTGTGTGGGTGTGTAGGGCGATATGTGTGAGAACAAGCTCACGTTTACACCCAGGCCTGTGCGTGGAGCTGGTACAGACAGCAGGGTGGGGGATAGGAAAGGAGAAAGAAACTGTATTAAATCCCTTGCCTATCACAGGGAGAAAGATTCATTTTGTTCTTGGATTATGGCAAAACTGAAAAGTCGACACTAATAGAAATAAAGAAAAGAGATACATATGTGTATACACTATCCAATACGTGGGATATCCAAGTACAGAGAACTCTAACTCACATAGAGATGGAGGGCAAAGGAAATACTATTAAAACTACAACATACCATAAAAGAAAAATGGCCACGTATATGGATTATAACAATTATAAATGGGTCAGTTAAAGGGCAATGGTCTTCAGTATGGGTTAAAAAAATCCAATGAAATTCTGTGTATATGAGACACATCCAAGATAAAATTATAGATTAAAGAAAAGCACAGACCATGGCATACCAGTAATGAATAGCAAACTGTACTTAAAGTAAATAAAACAAAACCAAAACAAAGAAATATTAAATGAGAACACAAAGAAGGTCAATTTTATATTGATAAATTTTTTTAACTCACCAAAAAAGTAAAATATCATAAACACAAGGCAAATTCACTGAACTAGACTATATAAATCAAAATGCTTAGATATTCAACAACGAAAAGAAAAATATGGAAATGAAAGACTAACATTCCATTCCTGAACTGCAACAGATTAATAGGGGAAAATATCAAAAAGAATGCCGAAGCTCTAAAATCATAATTTATGCTTTACCATAATTCCAGGAATATTTACAAATTTTATGTGTACTATTAAGCCACAAAGGAAATCCTTAAAAATACAACAGAGTAAAAAGTGTATACATAGGTCCACGTTCCCTTTCTACACAGCACACAAAAAGAGAAATGACAAAGTAACAGTAAAAGTTAAACTTAAAAAAAAAGTCACTGAAATTTGAAAACTCTTCCAATAAATCTGTTTTCAAAAAATAATAGCCTTCCATCTAGGACTCTCAATTGTTTCATATTTTTAAGAAAAGGAACTTCCATTGAAAGCTCTTCTAAGGTGTTTTTAGCCATTCCTCCCCCTGACATGCACAAATCACAGATTTTTTTTACAAGTTTACCAAGTATATACTATATATTTAGCTTTGGGGCTGATGATTCAGTGTGATATGCAAAAGCAGAAAGGGTCCCCCACATTAAAGGAGTGCGTAACTGAGTTGAGGATTTAGCAAAATCAAACAGCAGTCACCAAAATAATGTAAATATTATAGAAATTCAGAGAAAGAGGAGACCAAAGCAGGGAGGGAAGTCTTCTTTATGTGACTTCAGGTAGGACTCAGAGATAAAAGAGACTGGAGAATCCAGAGAAGAAATGGGGAAAACATTCTAGTAAAGAATACTACAACCATGAAGGTTAAAGAATGAAACAGTTAAATACTGACAGTTACAATAAGTTACTATAATAGATACAGCCTAGGAAGAAATACACTCAAATACTAGACCAAACTGTTTATGCTAAAAAATGAACTGCAATAAGATTTTAAGGCACAATGGCTGTGGTTGCCAGCTAAAGTTTGGAAAGATTCTCATCACTTTGAACATTCATTCAAATAGACTTCAACTTTGAGGTATATTTCATATCTCTCGAGAGAGTAACATTACCGATAAATAATGATCTTTATTTGCCATTTGGGAGACTGACCACAGCAGAGGTAAGATACTGGCCAGGCTTCCACAGCTACTTCATGCAATGAGAGGAAAACAGTTAATAGTAGAGAATTTGAAGAACATTATAACATGCACACATGTCACTATATTCTAATTTCACATTCCCATAGTCTAATCCACAAAAATTAAAATAATTAAACCAAAGGAACTCTCTCTAATCAAGAATGTCATTGAAAGAAGGAAACAGATTCAGAATCGGTTTATAATAAACAAGGTAGAGAAGACTTGGGCTGCCAAGTAGATGGGAGTGGGAGGAAATAAAGCATCTTAGTTTCTGAGCAAAATGCTGTTATTAAGTATAATTGCATCAACTTGATTCAAATCCAGTATTTCTTATTCATTGAAAAGAAACATATTAAAATAGCAGCAATTTCCTTTACAAATAAACACACTCAGCCAAGGAAGCTTCCACCAAAAAGTTTAACTCTAAATGTAATAAAAAGCAGAAGCAAAATTATTTCACTGCTTCTAATTTCAAATAATAACTTCTAAACATAAATATGCTAGAGCTAAGTCAGTAAGAATCACTTTTAAAATTCTAATAAAAATTATACTGAAACTCTTTCGAACAGTCTAACTATATACTTTAATGCTAAACTACAGAAAAATAAGAAAAATCTTCCAACAAATAATTAAAAGTTATTGCTATAAATTAACTGTAGAAATCATTAATGCAAATATTTGCATTTAATTATTTATAATCCTGATCCTGAAAAAGCTATGAGATAGAGGAAGTTTCACTCACTAATACCTAAGTTTAGATGTGACAGACTACTTCTGAATAGAAACATCTTGATGCACATTATGGAAATCTGGTTTTTCACTGCTAATAATTTCAGTTATTTCTGGACCCTTGATTTATAAAAGATGCATCTGGACATCTGAACTATAAATTAACCATAAATATCTGCTGAGAAACATTATCTTTGAGCTTCTGAGTATAGGGACGCTTGAAATAGGCATGTCTCAGTAAATCATGTATGTGTAAAAGAAGTATTTCAACTAAATAGTCTCAATAGGTCTTTCTATCCATCACCTCCTATGCCCCACATACACACAAAAACCACAATGACTTCTTAGTATTTAAAACTGAAGGGCATGGGGATTATAAGCCAAGATGGGCCACATACCCACCAGTGTAGATCTGTCTTCTTGCACCTGAGCTGTCACTTGGGAAGCCAAAGAGAACAGCTCTTGGATGGATATATGGACTGCTGCAAGAATGACTCTCCCAGAAGAGAAATACTTGACGTTGCCCTGCTGGCAAGATGTTTTTCCTGTTCTAAATCCTCCTAAGTAAATCTGATTTAAAATGTCTGGGAGTCTAAGTGTTAGGTTGAACTTAAAAGACTATCTGGTAGACGTTGTAAAAGCCAATCTCAAATTTTAAATTTTTCTTCAGATACAAAATAACCATAATTTGTGTTAAGTATGATGATATTTTCTCATAAAACATGAGAAAGCAACTTCTTTTTAAAATATTTGATGTTTTAAAAACACTGTTTCCATTTTCCCAATATTCAGGCTTTAGATTAACCATTATTACAAGTATGAATACCCTTCATTGAGCTTCAACAATATTATACATCCAGTATCTTAATTCGTGGGCATTAGGCATTCTGATTAGATACGATAGGTGCCATTGAAGAACTCTACATATGGTTTTTAAATGTTCAATCAAATGATCTAAATAAGTAGAACTGAATAGATCTAGGGAATCTATAAAGCTTTATAGAAAGTTGTGTTTCTAGAGGCACCTGGCTGACTCAGTCCGTGGAGCACGCGACTCTTGCTCCCAGGGCCGTGAGGTCCAGCCCCACATTGGGTATAAAGATTATATAAGGGTAAAACCTTAAAAAAAAAAGAGTTGTGTTTCTACATATTCACTGAGATTTTCAATTCCTAAACATAATCCGAGATGCTAAAAGTCTGTCAGGCTCTTGCCTTTTATACTGACAACCTAGAAAAATTACACACTTATGTCTCATTTCTCTCCTTTTGATAAATTTTGTAAATTTAGGACATGTGTTTTATCTTTCATTTTAAATGCATACTGGCCCAATTTATAATCTAAACTGTCTTAAACACAATCAGCAATTCTGCACCACTTGACATAATAAGGTCTGAAACAAGTTTCCATGTGTAGTACTCTCAGTCTAACGATAAATGCTCTCTAAATGGGACCCATCACATGCTTGAAGAAATCCTTTTCTATTTTAAAGAAAATAATCTATCAGGTAAACCATTTTCTTTAAATCTTTAATTTACAAATGATGTCTTCCTAGAGATACTAAATAAAAATGATTGAGGCAATTAAGGAGTGCACTTGTTGTAATGAGCACTGCGTGATGTATGGAATTGTCAAATCACTATATTGTACCCCTGAAACTAATATAACTGTGTGTTAACTGCATGGGAATTAAAATAACATAAAATGATTGATGGTGCTAAGACTTTTTTACATCCTTTTCCAATACAAGTTATATTTTAAATTTATTTCTATTGTTGACATTCACACTACAATGTCAATTGTCATTCTTCAGTAAAATCACTTGCTATTATTTCATAAAACTTCTACAGAATTCCTTGACTAAGATCAAAAAAAAAAAAAAAAAACATTAAATCACTTACTGTAAACAGCCCACTCTTACTGCTACAGGAATGTGGGGAAGCTGAGTGGCCCACTTCAGTGTCACATCCTGATAAATATGTAACATGTGATTATGGTTTCCAATCAAAGTATTTATTGTTCCTTCAGAAACTGTATGTTGAAGACAGAAAAGAAGATAATAAGAAAACAGTTATCTGCAACGGTATATTAAATCACTTTTAAGGGATTTAGTATACAAATTAATTCTAATGTCTTGATGTTAATGCCTAAAGTAAAAAAGCATTTATTTTAGTAACACATTAGTTTTTAACTTCAAGCACGAATATCAAAAATTACACAATGATTTTACAGACTTGGGAACTAGAAGTAGATAGTAGCCAACACTTTTGCATTTTATCTAGAAAGTATGAATTTCATTAATATTTAACACCTTTAAGCTAATGATTTACCGAGCATTAGCCACAGATAAGTCATTCTATTGGACATTACTATATGCTTCATTCTGCTTTTAAGAGTCTGGTGTTCTTTTGGAAACATCTTGAACAGCCACATTTTGGAAAGCATAAATGTATATCTGAGGCCAATTCTCCAAGTCATTCTGTACAAAGTAAAATGACTGACAAAACCAAATGTGTGCTTTATATCAAACCTCTATTCAAACTCTGAAGTTAAAATTTCCATTACATGTTCTGTATAAAACTATTTTCCTAGATGTTTAAAATATATGCGTGTGAATTAGGCTTTTTCTGATGTATATCACTAGCCTTGACATATGGAAAAGATAAAAGAAAAATACTTCTACACACCTGAGCAATATGGGAGAAAACAACTTGGGCTACAATCAAGTTTCTTCATGAATCGAATCTGTCCGTTATCCTTAAGGCAAAAAAAGTTTCTCTCACCAAGAACAAAAACAGAAGATGCTGACTGATTGAAAGAGACAATACATATATCAAGGGCTTGCTCTCCAATATTTAGAGTCCAATCCACCTACAAAGAAAAGGCTAAAATCAATTTAGTTGCTAAAAACAAAGCATTTCAGTTACTTTCATATCAATACAATTAAGAAATTGCTTCGCAACAAAGCAGACAGAAAGATTGGCTAGTCTTCCCTTTTTTTTTTTTTTTTGCGATAACCGTATTTCTGATATTTTATATACTCTAATAGGTTTTGTCCCATCTTTTGCCAGATGATATAAGCTATTCAGTGGTTCAAAAATACTCATATAAATTTGGGAAGTGGGGCAGGGAAAAAAAAGACTCACAAAAATTTAACCAAAGAGGTATAAGATGTGTAAAACAAAACTTGGGGCACCTGGGTGGCTCAGTCGGTAAAGCATCCAACTTCGGCTCGGGTCATGATCTTGTGGTTCATGGGTTTGAGCCCCACGTCAGGCTCTGTGCTGACAGCTCAGAGCCTGGAGCCTGCTTTAGAATGTGTGGCTCCCCATCTCTCTGCCCCTCTCCTTCTGGTGCTCTCTCTTTGTCTCTCAATAATAAATAAATGTTAAAAAAAATAAATAAAAAGATGTGTAAAACAAAAACTGCAAAAAACTGATAAAAGAAATTGAAAAACAAATAAATGGAAAGATATGCCATGTTCATCAATTAGAAGAATTACTATTATTAAAATGCCCATACTACCCTACCCAAAATGATATACAGATTCAAATCCCTATCAAAATCCCAATGGTATTTTTCAACAAAATAGAAAAAAAAAATCCTAAAATTCATACAGAACCACAAAAGACTCCAAATAGCCAAAGCAATCTTGAGCAAAAAGAACAAAGCTGGAAGCATCAAATTTATTAAATTACCTGATTTTCAAATACACACTACAAAGCTATACTTAACAAAATAGCACCGTGCTGGCATTTAAAAAAAAAAAAAAATCTAGACCAATGCAACAGAACAGAGCCCAGAAATAAATGCATTTACAATGAATTGATCTTCAACAAAGGTATCAAGAGCACATACTAAGGACAGTCTCTTTAATAACTGGTGTTGCGGTGGGGGAGGGGCACCTGGAGTGGGTGGCTCACTCGGTTGAAGATCTGACTCTTGATCTCTGCTCAGGTCATGATCTCATGGCTCATGAATCTGAGCTGCACATTGGGCTTGCTGCTGTCAGCTTGTCAGTGCAGTGCCAGCTTCAGATCCTCTGTCTCCCTCTGTCTACTCCTCCCTAGCTTGTGCTCTCCCAAAAATAAATAAATACTTTTTTTAAAAAATGGTATTGGGAAAACTTGATATTCACATGCAGAGGAATGAAATTGAACCCCTATCTCACACCATATACAAAAATCAACTCAAAAATGGATAAAGATTTAAACATAAGACCTCAATCTGTAAAACCATTAGAAGAAAACTTAAGGAAAAGCTTTTTGTCATTGTTTTAGGAAACGAATTTTTGGATATGACCCCAAAAGCACAGGCAACAAAAGTAAAAATAGACAAAAAGGACTGCATCAAGCTAAAAAGTTCCCGCACAGCAAAAGAAACAATTAACAAAGTAAAGAGATAATCTATGGAATGGTAGAAAATATTTGCAAACCATCTATCCAATAAGGGGTTAACACCTAAAAATACATAAGGAACTAGACAACTCAGTAGCAAGTAAACAAACAACCTGATTTAAAAATAGGCAAAGACTTGAACAGATTTCTCAAAAGAAGATATACAAATGGCCAACAATTATATGAAAAAATGCCCAACCACTAAATCATCAGGAAATGCAAATCAAAACCACCACCTTGAGATATCACCCCACACATGTTAGAATGCCTATCATTAAAAAGACAAGAGATAACAAGTTTGTTGGCAAGGATGTAGAGAAAAGGGAACTCTTTTGCACTGTTGGTGGGAATATAAATTGGTACGGCTACTATGGAAAACAATAGGGAGATTTCTCAAAAAATTAAAAACTAGTATATGATCCAGCAATCCTACTTCTGGGCATATTGTCACAGGAAATGAAAACAGAATATTAAAGAGATAACTGCAATCCCATGTTCATTGCAGCATTATTCACAATAGCCACGATATAGAATCAACCAAATTGTCCATTGATGAACAAACGAATAAACAGAATGTGTGAGATATTCTATATAATATACTATATAATGTGTATAATATAATGGAATATTATTCAGTCTTCAAAAAGAAGAAAATCCTGCCATTTGTGACAAAATGGATGGACTTGGAAGGCATTACGCTAAGTGAAATAAGTCAGGCACAGAAAAACAAATACTACATGATCTCACTTATATGCAGAATCTAAAAAAGACAAATTCAGGGGCACCTGGGTGGCTCAGTTAGATAAGCGCAGACTTCAGCTCAGGTCATGATCTCATAGTTCATGAGTTTGAACCCAACATCAGGGTCTATGCTGACAGCCTGGAGCTTGGAGCCTGCTTTGGATCCTATGTCTCCCTCTCTCTGTGCCCCTCCCCTGCTCACACCCTGTGTCTCTCTCTCTCTCTCTCAAAAATAAAATAAATACTTAAAAAAATATATTTGAAAGACAAGCTCATAAAAGCAGAGAGTATAATGGTGGTTGCCAGGGTCTGAGGGAAGACGTAAATGAGAAGATACTGAATGGTCAAAGGGTACAAAGTTTCAGTTACACAGAATGAATAAATTCTGGAGACTTCATGTACAGTCTAATGACTATAGTTATATTACTGTACTGTTTTGTACATATACTTGAAATTTGTTAAGATAGATCTTAAATGTTCTTACCATAAAAGAAAACAAAGAGAACTATGTGAGGTGATAGATATGTTAATTAGCTTAATTGTGGTAATCATTTCACAATGTACATATATCAAAAGATCACAAATTTATATAATTTTTATTTGTCAATTATACCTCAATAAAGCTGGAGGCAGAAAAAAGACAGGCAGAGGATTGAGTGGGAGAATGCCCTATCCAAAGTGAGCTGGCTGTACAAAGATCCTATGACAGAAAAGGAGGGACCGTGACTTGTTCAAAAAATAATAATAATACACATAAAGAAGTTATCTGCTTCACTGCAAAATTTCCATAAGAAAAATTTCCATATTGTGTTTACTTTACAAATCAAATTTAATAAGCAGTAAAACCTAACCAATATTTATGTAACTATAATGTTTTAACATAAAGACAATTTAAAAATCTATCTATCTATCTATCTATCTATCTATCTATCTATCTATCTATCTATACACACACACACACACACACACACAGCAGCCAACAAGCTGTCCCAGTTGCCTAGGCAGGACCCTCAACACCTTAAGAACTATACCAGGGTAACTCCATATCTCTGGAACACGGTCAATGTTCAAACAATGCTTCTTAAAGTAATGAAGGAATGAATTTAAAGTTAACATACTTTTCAGAATTCAGTCCCCACTCAATTAATGCTTTTTAATTGAAAAAAAAAAAAAAGAGCAAAGGCATCAGCTGACAGACATATACTGAAAATGGCAGTAACAGTGAGATGGCTGCACAAAAGCATGTGGACAGAGAGGAAATAAGAGTGTCCTCAGAGTTAGGTTATAATCAACAAATAATGGATCAAAGAAGAGATATGAAAACTCACATTAAAGATACAAACAAATTTCTGGCCATCAAGATATCATTGAGATATTTATCTACTTTAAGTACTAAAATATCTGCAGAAAGTATGAAATCCAAATGGATTTTCTACAAGTTAAAAAAATATTAAAAAAATAAGATTATCTTGGATCTTAATCAGGATTCAACACCAAGAAATCATTTCATTACTGTTAAATTCAAGTGTAACTTACCTATATAAAAAGATTCCACTGTATACAAAACATAAATGTCAGTCCTGTGACAATCACATTTCTCATTACACTTTATTTTATTTTTTAATTTTTTTAAGTTTATTTATTTATTTTGAAAGAGAGAGAGACAGAGAGAAGTGGAGAAAGAAAGCAAGCATGGAAGGGGCAGAGAGAGAGGGAGAGAGAGAATCCCAAGCAGGCTCTGCACTGTCAGCACAGAGTCTGACACAGAACTCAATCTCACAAACCGTGAGATCATGACCTGAAATCAAGAGTCAGACGTTTAACTGACTGAGCCACCCAGGCGCCCCTCATTGCATTTTAATAGGCTGGCATTCTAGCATTAAATATCACTATCTGTAACTTGGGCTGATGTGTCCCAGATTCTGAGATGATGATTCATTCAGGATTCAGGCAAATCAAGTTTCTGAGACTGAAGGATGACATCTAGCCATTAAATTCTTTCAATTCACTAGGTATGAGCGCCCCTCTCTGTGACCTCCCCTTAGAGAAATATACCACATTCTAAATGAATGAGTCTCAAAAAACACAGAAGTTTACTAAGAATAATAATTTTAAAGTTCTTCCACTTCCAGTCAAGAGAGAGTAATAGGAAAAGACTTTACCATCACACCTGAAACAACACAACATGGACAAAATATATGAAACAACAGCTTGCAAGGCACTGAATATCAGACAACAAAGGACAGCAACCCTTTGAAGACCAAACAAATGAGGTGAGTAGTAGGACTGTTCCATCCGTGAAGGAGTTTTCAGGCCATGGCGCAGGGCGGAGCAATGCAAGTAAGGCCCAGCAAACTCCCTGAATTAAGGATATGGATGCTGGGAGTTCAGAGAAACCAGAGCAGCTGGAGTTCATAAGACAGCAAGCCAAAGGGGGAGAAAGCAGCACAGGGACAGAACTTTGACATCTGTGAAGAATCCTCTCAAATATTCATCTGAGTGCTTATCAGCACATTCATGTAAGAAAACTACCCAAAGCCAGGGAAAGAACTATCCAAAAGGATTAGAGGTAACAGTGCCCAGCATTCATACTGCCTGGAATACTGCCTGTGTTTGCTAGCCAGACTAGAACACCTCATAATTCAAAGGGAGCTGAGCAGGGCACTCAGAAGCATTTTGCCTAAGGAGTGGGGAATAAGTAGCCCCAGAATGAGCAGTGCTCTGGTCCTATCTAAAAACCCAAAAGGATCAAACTGTCCAAGTATCTTAACTGTGTCCCAGGCCTAAGTTCAAGAAGAGTTCTAGGAATGCAAAAATATCCAGCACTCAAAAGTAAAATGACTATATTTGCCATCTAATAAAAAATCACCAGGTATGTAAAGAAATAAGAAAATATGATTTACAAAAAAAGAGATAAATAAATCAACTGAAACTGACTCAAAACTGATGCAGGTGTTAGAATCAGAAAACAAGGACATTAAAACAATTATTATAACTATACTGTATTCTGTATCTTCAAAAAGTTAAGTAGAGACATGGAAGATATAATAATAAAAAAAAAAAAAAAAAAAAAAAAAAAAAAAAAAAAAAGCAAATTGAACTTATAAAGATGGAACCCATGGGAATTAATACCAGGTTAGACATTATAGAAAAAAAGATTACTGGTCTTGAAAACATAGCAGTAGATGTCATCCAAAACAAAATAGAGAAAATAAAATCTGTGAGCTGTGGGACAACTTCAAGTATCCTAAATGCATGTGTAACTGGAGTCCCCAGAGAAGAGAAAGACGGAAGACAAAAAAAAAAAAAAAAAAAAAAAAAAAAAAAAAAAAAAAAAAAAAAAAAAAAAAAAAAAAAAAAAAAAGTTTGAAGAATTAAGAGTCAAAAATTTTCTAATTTTCAAGGTGCCTGGGTAGCTTGGTCAGTTGAGCATCCTACTGTTGATTTCAGCTCATGTCATGATCCCAGGGTCATGGGATGCAGTCCCACATCAGGCTCTACATTGAGCATGGAGCCTGCTTGGGATTCTCTCTCTCCCTCTCTCCCTTTACCCCTCTCCCATTCATGCTCTCTTTCTCTCTCTTAAAACATTTTTTTCTAGGGGCGCCTGGGTGGCTCAGTCAGTTGAGCGTCCAACTTCGGCCCAGGTCATGATCTCGCGGTCCCTGGGTTCGAGACCCACATCGGGCTCTGTGCTGACAGCTCAGAGCCCGGAGCCTGTTTCGGATTCTGTGTCTCCTTCTGTCTCTGACCCTCCCCTGTTCATCCTCTGTCTCTCTCTGTCTCAAAAATAAATAAACATTAAAAAAAATTTTTTTTAATTTTTTTTCTACTTTTCATGAAAACTATAAATTCACAGATGCAAGAAGCTCAACAAATCCTAAGCACAAAATAAAGAAAACTACACAAAGCACATCATAATCTAATTGCTTCAAAAAAGTGAAAAGAGAAAATCTGAATAGCAGCCACAGAAAAGATATGAAGAAGAAAGAAGCAAAGACAAGAACGTAGGCAGATTTCCCATAAGAAACAATGGAAGCAAGAAGACAGTGGAGCAACCTCTTAAAATACCAGGGAAGGAAATACCGTCAAACTAAAATCTTGTGCCAAAAATATATTTTCAAACAAAAATGCAAAAATATTTTTTGAGACACAGAAAAACTGAAGGAATTCATTACCAGTGAACTCACATTGAAAGAAATGTGGTGGAAATATGGCCTCCATAAGTTAATGAAGAGTACCAGAAATGGTAACTGCATGGGTAAAAATATATTATTCTTTTCATTTAAATCACATTAAAAGATACTGAATATTTAAACAAAAAATAGTAACAATGTAATATGGAGTTTATAGTATATGTAAAAATATAGCATATGACAATTAGCACAAAGGCTGAAAAACAGAAGTATGGCTCTTATAAGTGAAATAGTATACTATCACCTGAGAGTAGATCATGGTAAATTAAATATTGTAAACTCTAAAGCAACTCCTAACATGACAAAACAAAGAGTTACGGCTAATAAGCCAACAAAGATAAAATGGAATCATAAAAAATACTGAATAACTCCAAAAGAAAGCAGAAAAACAGGAAAATGGAAATAAAAACAGATGGGACAAATAGCAAATGGCCAGATGACAAACTTAAACTTATCCATATTAATAATCACATGAAATGTATATGGTCTAAAACACAAATTAGAAAGCAGAGCATATCATACTAAACAAAAAAAGCAAGACTCAACTATGTGCTGCTTACAAGAAATGCATTTTCAGTACAAAGACACAAATTGGATAAAAGTAAAAATATGGAAACATATCAGAATAACACTAATTAAAAGAAGAATATTATCCAGAGCAAAAAGGTAAAGAGGGTTATTTTCAAAAAGGTAAAGAGGGTTATGAAAAAGGGATATGTTCATCATGAGACATAACAATCCTAAATGCTTATGTACCTAATAAAAGAATTTCAAATAAATGAAGCAAAAAACTGATAAAAATGCAAGGAGAAACAGATAATCCACAATTACAGTCAGAGATTTCAATATCCCTGCCTGAATAATTGACAGAAATTAGTCAAAATATTAACAAGGATATAGAAAATTTCAACAATGCTATCATCCAATCTAACTAACTGACATTTATAGAACACCCAAGAACAGCAAAAAAAAAAAAAAAAAAAAAAAAAAGGACATTCTTTTCAGGTGCTCAATGAAGATTTACCAAGATAGATCATATTCTAGGTCATAAAACAAATCTCAAAAAATCTGAAAGAATTCCAAGTCATACAAAGTATCTCTCTGACCACAAAAGAAATAAATTAGAAATCAACAAGTAGTTAAGAGGTAGCTCTAATATAGGCAGCTTTTAACTGCCTTCCCACAACTGCCTTATTAAAAGCATTCCACCGGATAAATTTTGTTTCTCTGCAATATACTTAATGTTCCATGGCATCACAGTCCTGCCAAGTGACTGTGGTGTAACGAAAGGAAGTTTTACTGCTATTTCTTACTCTATTCATTAATTAAAGGAGAATGGGAAAATCACTAATCTGTAATTGCTTTCAGAATACATTCTCAGTGCAAGGCACAGAGTAGTATCAATAAACATGTACAAATAAATGAGTAAAGGATATTCCAGACTAAATAAAAACTATGTGCAGAAGCCTTGAATCAAGAACAGCCATGGAATATTTAGAACAAGAGAAGACCGTGTGGCTGAAGTACAGAATATATGGGACAGATGGAAGACAACTACTATTGAGGAGGAGGTCAAGGACAAATTGATCATCATTATCATTGTCATCTTCATCATCTAGACATCTTTGTTAAGTGCATTATATATATATTTCCAAAGGCAACACTGTAAAATAGGTATCGTCACCATTTTGCAACTAAGAAACTTAAGGCTTAGCATGGTTAATAAACTTGCTCAAAATTAGTAGTAAATACAACTCTCAAGATGTGACTCCAAAGTCTATCCTTTAACTATTATTAGTATGGTGCCTCCAAATTCTGTGAAAAAATATGCCATATTTGTATTTGTTGTGCCCTCTTTCACTTTTTACTAGTATTAAGAAAATGTTTTCATGTCATTCTTGGCTCTTCAAGTTGGCCTGCCTTCCTATCTTAATTTCTGTATCCTAATATAGAAAATTGATTTTCTCTAATATTTTTACTTCCTTGGCATTCTAAATTCCACATTATTTCTTCATGTAGTTTCTTTCATATGTGGCCATTTCAAATTCACTTTACTGTTTCCATCATAATTTTCAGTTCCTTCTGTTTTTCCTTCCTGTCGATGGTGGTTCTCCAGATAAAGAATTCCCAATCATCATTTATCCCCTAATTTTCATTAAACGGAGAATTTACCATTTACAATTTTTCCTCAAACTATTTTTCAAGTTACCAAACTTCCACCTTGTCATTAGGCCAATTTTATCTTTGTGGGCTGTGAATTTTTATCTTTTACTTATATATTTAATCACACGCCTACTAGTAGCAATATTTTTGCCTATTAAAGGTTTCTTTAAATTTTTCTCCTTTTGCTACATTAGTTTATAAACACTTCAGTTAAAAGCAACTCCATCTGGACATTTATAATTCTAGTAGTGCAACTCTATAATCTGAAAAATGGGGTGCTTCGGTGGCTGTCAGTTAAGCTCCCAACTCTCAATTTAGGCTCAAGTCATGATCTCAAAGTTCGTGAGTTCAAGCCCTCTGTTGGACTCTGAGCTGACAGAGGGGAGCCTGCTTGGGATTCTCTCTCTCTACCTCTCTCTCTCGCCCCTCCCTCACTGTCTCACCCTCTCTCTCTCTCTCTCTCAAAATAAATAAACTTTCTGTACCTCCCTTACTCTCTCAGTCTTTCTCTCTCTCTCAAAATAAATAAACTTTGTTTTTAAATCTGATAAATTATGACACAGCCAGGCATGTGTCTCCATTGCTCAATAATAGTCAACTGAATTTTTTCCCATTGATAGAATCATAACAGAGAAAAGAAAAATAGCTAAAATAAATATTTTTAAAAATTTTCTTCCCAGAATTTTTATTCTGAAGAAAATCTGTGATTAGATACAATATTACTGAAATTTTATATATTAAAAAAGGCCTTACAACAAGTCTTTTTCCAGAACCAAGTTTTTGTTGTTCAGTCTCCTGTCTTTTATCTGCATCCGTTGCAAAAGCAAGCACCTGGTACCTGTTTGAAAGACATGAATAATTATAAATGATTTTACAGTTAAAAAGCATAAGTTATTTTAAACTTTAAAATCACATAATCTATAAACTTTACAAACTGCTTTTCTGGGGGGCACCTAGGTGGCTCACTGGGTTAAGCGTCTGACTTCAGCTCAGGTCATGATACTGGTGGTTCGTGGGTTCAAGCCTGCTTTGGATTCTGTGTCTCCCTCTCTCTCTGTATCTCTTTCTCTCTGTCTCTCTCTCTCTCTCTCTCAAAATATATAAGCATTAAAAAAAATTAATTGCTTTTTTCTTGGTTTTAAAAAACTGAAATTTAAGATCAAATTCTTCTTGAATGACACTGTGACATGAGACTATGTAAACCTGTCATGATAAAGAAATTATAACTATGTCCTAAAATTCAATATTGGGTAAAGAGCTCTGCCAACGGTCAAAGCATTTCCATTAGAATTTTATGTGACGAACAACAATAGCTAAGAAAGATCCGGCAGCAAAACTTCACATAGAAAAAAATGTAAATAATGCAAAGTAGCCAGGTGTAGTAGAAACTGTTAATAGATATTCTATGGAACCCAGAAGACCGGAGTTTAACCCCCAGCTAAGCCACTTACTAGTTGGCAAATTAATTACTCCATGTCTTATCTTCCCCATCTATAAAATGGGAATAGTCTCTAACTCAAACATGGATAAAAGAATTTAAAAATAATTTAGTGCCTAGTACAGTAACTGGCATATATTAGGTGCCCAACAGATTGACAGACAGATACAGATTTACACATATATAAAGATCAATCACCTAGTAGTTTATCTGGTATGTAATAAGTTCTCAATAGGGGGCATTACAGACATTATGACTTTCTGTAAGTATTTTATAGCTTTTATTTCATTAGTAACATTTGGTTCAAAGCATTCTTTAAAACAATTTATACAGGGCACCTGGGTGGCTCAGTCAATTAAGCATCAGACACTTGATTTCGGCTCAGGTCATGATCTCACAATTCGTTGAGTTCAAGCCTAACACTGGGCTTGGGATTCTATCTCTCCCCTCTCTCTCTGTCCCTACCCTGCTCACACTCTCTCTCAAAATAAATAAACTTTAAAAAAATTATAAATATCATTTGATCTAGAAATGATTAATTTAACAAATAAAATTTAAATTCCCTATTTCCCATAATATAATGTTATATTGTTAAAGTAATAATCCTACTCTAAATGAAGAAAGTTTAGGCTCACAAATTCCTTTCTTTCCTATGAATCAAAACTCTTATGTTGTTCTTCCGCAGCTAAGAGGAAAATCAGTAGATATATCTGGACGTCTCATACTGTCTAAGAGAAAGATATCTGAAAGTATAAAACTCAGGGCCCTGAATGAATAAAAGCAAAATGGAATACCTAAATAGGCATTGAAATGTACACTGGTATGCAAATGTCATATACTAACTCTTAAACTATCTCAATCAGGAATACTTTGTAAAGAAAAAAAAGCCTTTACTTGCAGTTGGATGCAGAATGACTATGAATTAAGGCAGATCTTGCAAGGTATTTATTAAAATCAGTCCTATGATTAATATGAAAGCTTAATGTATATGAATTTTACCAATTCAGCAAAGATATAGTAGTGATCCAATACATCTAATATATCTAAGCTCTGACAAAGAAAAAAACTATTATATGGTCTGTATCCATCAGGACCTCCCAAGTAGTTGTAGAGATTCATATACAAATAAGTACAATTCAGAGTGCCCTGTGCCAATAATAGAAGATATACACATAGTACCATGGGAACATGATGGCAGACACAAGTAATTGGAATGGAGGAAATATGTATGTTTTTGATATAGGTTCAGGAGAAGAAAGCTAGGTTTTAAAGAATGAGTGAAAACCCATCATACTGGTAAAGGGGTAAAGGCATTATGGCAAAGCCAACAGCACATGAAAAGGCATGCAGTAAAAGAGACATGAAAGGCCACGACAGGAGTTTAGGAGAGATGCATGGCAGGGAGGAATGAGTCATGGGAAACGAGACAAAAAAGGTAGGAGGGTAAAGATCTCAGCCTTGTAAAACCATGCTAAGAAATTCCATGGGCAGTTTCAGCAAATATGTCCATACCATTTGAGAGTGACCTGCAAAATCCCTAAGTCTCCAACAGTGCCAAATAATTAGACCTCACATTCCAACCTTCATATAGGATTGTTTTACTCTTCCCAGTTCACAGTATCAGAAATAGTATGCACTGGTGACTAAAACATCAGCCCAGACCTCGGCCTGCTATAGATCCAACCTCAGGCAATTAATTACATAGGCGGTTCATTTCCTGCACACACCAACCTACTAGAGGAAGATATGGATATTAATGAGATTGTCGTAAACATCCAAAGCTTTTGAGCTGTTTGAAGCTTCTTATAGAACTACAAAGCATTATTATTTCATCCAGGAATAAGTGAGCCCCTAAAGGGGCCTCATTAACATCAAACAGCAGGCAGAGACACAGCCAAAATTGACTCCTGATTTCCAAATCCAGACCATTTCTCTTCCTGGAAGACAACTCACAAGAGCATTTTATTACTAAACGTAATTGACAGTAAATTTAGATGATGACAAACTTACAATACCATCTATTTTATAGTTCTTCCCTAAATCCTCTTTCTGTGACCAATAATGTACATGGAAACCTATTTCCAAAACCAAACAATTCCAGGCAGAATAGAAATTTCAAAATAAAGAAAACATTTGGTGTTTTTTTTTCTTACCACTTGAATGTTCAGTGATAGAAGTTGAAGAATAAAATTCCCTTGTTGTGACTGCTGAGAGAATAATCAGGCACAGTGTAGTAAGATTTCACGAAAGAGTGTGTCCTATGTGTTTCTCAACAGAAAGGCACTAATCACAAATACATCAAGTCCAGATGAATGGTAGCACTTTTTGACCGAATAGCCACAAAGGCTTAGCAGATCCTGTGGAGCACCAATGACAAACTCAACCATATAATTTAGTGCTCTTCCATGTCACATCGTAAAAACCAGCAGCAAGTAACTAAAATATGGATTGAGGTGTCACAGAATACAAAAGTAAACCCTCCAAAATCATTTATTTTCAAATGAAACATATACCTCAAAGGTACCAGGAGATTTTGGAAACTTGATATTTAACCCAGAGAACTCTACTAGAAATGGAAGCTCCGGATACAGAGCATTACTAAATTCATTACAAACAGAACTAAAACATTCTTAATTATGCCAGGAAGGATCACTTTAATTGAAAGGTACCAGCAACAAAATAGAAACTTTCCTTACAACTTTTCACTCCTTCGTCAAGTTATGGTTAAACATCTATGTTTGGCAATGTACAATGCTAGGCATTACAGGAGTCACAAAATCCCTGCCATCAGCCCTGTCAATGAGAAAAAGAAGCAAATATGTAATATCAGTTAAAGTGTGATGACTACTTGTGGAAAGAGCAGAAAAACTACTCCTCGAATTGAGAAGGAGGTGTTACAGCTAGGTCAGGAAAGAACTGAAGGAGAGAGGGGAGGCTTACGGACACAATTTCCATATACAGAAAAGAAAGGAAAAACTTCAGAGTGTAGCGTGAGCAAAAGAGGAGAAAGAGAAAAGCCGTAAACATATCTGAAAAACAAACATTTCAATTTGGCCAGAGCCTAAGGCTAGTGAAGAATACAATATTCTTTCTACAATATTGTCAATTAAACTCTACAAGTACATTTTTTTAATATATGAAATTTATTGTCAAATTGGTTTCCATACAACACCCAGTGCTCATCCCAAAAGATGCCCTCTTCAATGCCCATCACCTACCCTTCCCTCCCTCCCACCCCCCCATCAACCCTCAGTTTGTTCTCAGTTTTTAAGAGTCTTTTATGCTCTGGCTCTCTCCCACTCTAACCTCAATTTTTTTTCTTCCCCTCCCCCATGGGTTTCTGTTAAGTTTCTCAGGATCCACATAAGTGTAACCATATGGTATCTCCTGTCTTTCTCCTTGTAACTTATTTCACTCCATCACCTCTCCCAGTTCCATCCGTTACAAAGTGCTCTTCATTCTTTCTCATTGCCATTATTGGTACTCCATTATTATTATATAAACTACACAATTTCTTTATCCATTCGTCAGTTGATGGACATTTGACTATTTCCACATTGTTTGGCTATTGTTGAGTAACACCCCTTTCCATATAAACATTGGAGACACAAAATTGCCCCCTGTCATCATCACTCTATCCCTTAGTGTAAATTCCTGTAGTGTATTGCTGGGTCATAGGTGGTACCTGCAATTTTCAGAGAACCTCCACACTGTTTTTGTTGGCTGCACACCAGTGATTTGCATTCCCACTGATGACAATTTCAAAGAGGGTTCCGTTTCTCCCACATCCTCTCCAAGCATCCTACCACTAGTCTCCTGATTTGTTCATTGTAGCCACTCTGACTGGTGAATTTGATATCTGGTATGGTTTTGATTTTATATTTCCTGATGAGAATGTCTTAAACATCTTTTCATGTGCCTGTTAGCCATCTGAATGTCTTCTTGAAAGTGCATCTATTCATGTTTCTGCCCATTTCTTCACTGGATTATTTGTTGTTTTTTTTTTGAATTTATTGAGTTTGGTGACTCTTTATAGATTTTTGGATACCCAACCCTTTACACAATCCCATTCTCGTTTACAATATCTTTTCCATTCCCGTTAGTTTGCCTTTTATTCCAGTAGTTTCCTTTGCTGTGCAGAAGCTTTGTCTTCATGAGGATCCCAATAGTTCATTTTGCTTTTTTAAATTCCCTTGCGGGGATGTGTCAGTAAGTACTTGCAGCTAAGGTCTGAGGGTCTTTTCCTGCTTTCTCCTCTAGTGTTTTTGATGGTTTCCTATGCCTACATTCAGATTCCTTTATCCATGTGAGTTTATTTTTTTTGTAGAATGGTGTAAGAAAAGTGGTCCCTAATTTCGTCTTCTGCATGTTGCTGCCCAGTTCTCCCAGCACCATTTATTAAAGAGACTGTCTTTTTTCCATTGGATATTCATTCCTGCTTTGTCAAAGATGAGTTGGCCATACTTTTGTGGGTCTAGTTCTGTCGTTTCTATTCTCTTCCATTGGTCTAACTACAAGTACATTTTAAAACACTTATCTAAAGCCTCTCATCTACTTAGCAATGTACTAGGTACATGTAGGAGTGTGGCGAAAGATGTGTAGCAAAGAGAAGGAGAGAAAATAAAGTTCATCATAGGTATTCTTCTTCAGGGAACCTCCCTCCACTGAACTCCTACTGAGAGGTCCCACCTCTAGGCCTCCTCAGTATCCTATGCACAGCTCACTAGAGCCTCTATCACAGTAAACTCAGTTGACTGACTTGCCACCTCCCACACTTGCTTGCGTACTGTTTGAAGACAAGAGAGAGCTCTTATCTGACTCTGCATTTCTGGTAGTTGGCATAGTGTTTGACACAAAGAAGCCTCTTGAAAAATATTTGCTGAATGAATAATTGAATAAATGAACTAACTTATTCAGTCAGTGAACAGATGTTTAAAATAGATTCTGCTCTCAGGAATCTGATAAAGCAAGACATACTCTGGAATATTTCAGCAGAATACAAGAAGGCAATATATGGTATTTGGCAAAAATCAGTGTTTTAGGCAATAATATATCAAGGAGGTGAAAAAAATGAGGATAACTGAACCAGTTAACTTTAAAAGTCGCTTCCAAATCTGAATGTCCACATCAATGAAGGAAAAATGTGACCAGATCATACAGATCACTGAATGTCAAGATATGAAGCTTTCAATTTTTTAATGGGAAACAAAACTTATCTTAAAGAGGTATTTTAAAAGGGTAGATTATGAGAAGGATCCTTCCAAGTCTAGATCAGAAGAAAATCAGAAATCCAAGTGAGGAAATAAAGGCCTGAATGCCAATGGAAATGGGAAGCAAAGGCTGAATACAAAAGGGAAAAAAGTAGAAGCATGAGGATTTATTGACTAAATAACTCTGACAAGTAAAGGAAAGAAAAAGAGATAATCCAAAAAGACAATCCAAAATTTAGACAAACATTGCTAAGAGAATGGTGGTACCTAAGCCCCTTCCACCCCCCTTAAAAAGCAAACAATTCTCTCACTTCAAAAGAAAAACAATGCTCAAAGTGTATTCTTGAATTAGAATCACCTAGAGTAAGTGTTTGCAGTGATGATTCCTGGGTCTTATCTCCAAAACTACTAAATCAAAATCGAGTGTACTGGCAATTGTGAATCTATAAACGTGCATTTTGTAACAGGCTGACCACGTGATCCTCATGCAGACTAAAGTTTGAGATTCCCAGCCTTCATTATTCCTATCTGAATATAATTGAGCTTGCTTTAAAGTAATTAAATATCAGTATCAAAAGTGAAAACAAATTATGTCTTATAAGCCTTTCATATTAACTGATTACATTCTATTAACTGAGTATAAATAGATGAAGCCTCAAAAGAACAAACCTACAGTTTTCATGCTTCCTCCAATCCTAAATTGCACCAGTGATTATCATTTAATCTATTAAACTTGAAACCATATATAAATGTGATATACTATTTAACATTATAAATCTTCTTAATTGTCATCATTTCACAATAATCACATATCCCATGCATTTTTACCATTATAAAAGATCCACATAATGGATACGGTGTGCATTTTTAGTCCTAGATGGAGATAGACTTAATAGATTGGTATGTTGGTAAATTACCATAGTTCAAAGAGAGTGAGCTTCTTTGAGATTAAACTTACACATTAAGGAAACCTACACATTGCTTCCTCATCCAGTCACTCCTGGAGTTATTACCAAATGAATTCCTAGGCACATATTTCAAAGACTAAGTCATGGAGCATTCAAATCTTTGTATTGTGACCCCAGCATAGCACTGCCAGTATCCCTACTTGGCAGGAGTTGAGGCAGAGACCTGGGTGGAAAACTGAAAAGCAGATCTCCTTAATATTGCTTAAGCTCTGACAGGCTTGAATGAATTATACAGATATTTTTCTCAACCTCTCAAAATAAGTATATTTTATTTCTTACCAGTAGCAATGCCACAATTCATTCGTCCCCTTTGGACAAGAGCCATAGAAGTTAAAGAAGGAATATAATATAATGATATACTACCTCCATCAGTTAACTTCTGCTTAGTTACAAACATTTGCTTATGTTCAGAGTTTTGAATCTAAGAAACCTTGACAATAATTCACAAAAGGTAGATTGCCACTTATGAACGGGATAGTACATTAACTTGCTATTTGCACAATATTGAAACATGTAGACAAAAATTTATAGCTGTTGCCTGATGAATTTATATTTTCTTCCCTCCTTGGGAAAAATCATGCAACCAAAAATAATAAAATGAAAATCTATAATGAAGTGTTGCCTAGATGTTAAGTTCTAAATATTGCCATCAGTACGATAACAACAATAAAGTTACTGAAGATACCATAATCCTCCAAGTCTGTTTCTTTTCCCAGCATGAATTTGTACTTTCTTTTCCCTATTCTCCCTTCCAACAAAAAACATACCCTCCAAAAACTCAAAATCTTGATTTTTATTGAAATTTAGCTGGTAGAGGACACAAAAGTCTCTCTCAAACACAGTTCCCCCAAACCAGTAAGAATTTCTAGCAAAAACGATCATTGGTTTTCATACGGTCATTTTCGTACTTCATTTCTACTATGAATTATTCTTTTAAAAATATTCATAATAACACTTGTATTTCTTGCCAGTATTCTTTCTATGTCACATATTTTTTATAAAAATCATTCCATATACGCATCTTTGTATCTGGCTTTTTTCACTCATACTGTACTCTATTATTTTTAATTCAGGGATAGTCACAACAATTAATCAGCATTTTCTATGGGGTGGCAACTTGACATACATTCAATCCTTTTAACAAGCTTGTCAAAATAGCCATTATTCCCACAACTTCATGGGCAATTAATCTTTGACAAAGCAGCAAAGAATGTCCAATGGGAAAAAGTCTCTTCAACAAATAGTGTTGGGAAAACTAGAGAGTGACATGCAAAAGAAACTGGGCCACTTTCTTACATCATACACAAAAATAAATTCAAAATGGACTAAAGACCTAAATGTGAGGACTGAGACCATAAAAATTCTAGAAGAGAACAAAGGCAGTAACCTTTTTGACATCAGCTGTAGCAACTTCTTTCTAGATATGTCTCCTGAGGCAAAGGAAACAACAGCAAAAATCAACTATTGGGACTACATCAAAATAAAAAGCTTCTGCACAGCAAAGGAAACGATCAACAAACTAAAGGGCAACCTACAAAACGGATGAAGGTATTTGCAAATAACATATACGATAGGCTTAGTATCCAAAATATATAAAGAACTTATAAAACCCAACCTTCAAAAAACAAATAATCCAATTACAAAATGAGAAGATGTGAACAGACATTTCTCCACAGAATACCTACAGATGGCCAACAGACACGTGACAAGATATTCATCATCACTTACCATCAGGGAAATGCAAATCAAAACTACAATGAAATATCACCTCACATCTATCAAAATGGCTACAATCAACAACACAATAAACAAAAGGTGTTGACAAGGATGTGGAGCAAAAGGTACCCTCTTGCACTGTTGGTGGAAATGCCAACTGGAGCAGCCACTCTGGAAAACAGTATGGAGGTTTCTCAAAAAGTCAAAAAAAATTTATAAAGGTTAAAAATAGAACTATGCAATGATCCAGCAATCATACTACTGGATATTTACTCAAAGAATACAAAGACACTAATGCAAAGGGATACATACACCCTATGTTTATAGCAGAATCATTTACAATATACAAGATATCGAAGCAGCCCAAGTGTTCATCTTTTGATGAATGAATAAAAAAGATACAGTATGTATATGTGTGTGTGTGTGTGTGTGTGTGTGTGTGTGTGTAGAGAGAGAAGTACAATGGAATATTATTCAGCCATTAAAAAGAACAGAATCTTGCCATTTGCAATGGCATGGATGGAGCTAAAGAGTAAAATGCTAAGTGAAATAAGTCAGGGAAAGACAAAATACCATATGACTTCACTCATATGCAGAATTTAAGAAACAAAACAAATGAGCAGAGGGAAAAAAGAGAGAGACAAATCAAGAAACAGGCTCTTAATTACAGAGAACAAACTGATGGTTACCAGAGGGGAGTGAGGTTGGGGGACAGGTTAAATAGGTGATGGGGATTAAGGAGTACACTTGTGATGAGCACTGGGTGATGCATGAATTGTTGAATCACTATATTATATACCTGAAACTAATATAATACTCTATGTTAACCACCTGGAATTATAAGAAAAACTTTAAAAGCCAAATAAATAAATAAATAAATAGCCATTATTATCCCCTTTACAGCCAGGATAAGGACACTGACCATCAAACAGCTGCTCATAGAAAAATGAGGATTCCAGTTCAGGTCGACCTCTCTCCAAATCCTTTATCAATCTCTACACTATACTGCTTTTCAAATATTTTACAACATATAAATGATATCCTCTAAATCACCACAATTACAATTTTATCAAAGAAACTGGTCTTTTTTTAATATTCAGCTTTTTGTAAAAAAAAAAAAAATTAATCAGCAATATACACACCAAAAGTCATGATTCCGAAGATTCAACATCCAAACTTACTTGTAACTTTCCACTTGTCGACAGGAAGAGACAGTAATGAAGGAATCAGTACGAGAACTGTAAGCAAGAGGGCCAGGTAAAAGAGAACCAGGGAGAAATCTCCCAAAAGCATAGCTTTCCTGTTCAAACACCATCAGCATCCCGTCCATAGACTGGATACAAATTAAATCTCGACCTAAAGAAAAATTAGAGGAAATTAGGTGACCTTTTTATAATGGTTTTCATTTATCACTATCCATCACAAATATGTCATAATTAATTTATCCCCAGGGTCAATACAAGCAGCTTAAATTTTAAATTACAAACTGATAAAGCTATCAGATTACTATATATCAGTATATATACATTTCCCAAAATTATTCAGATGTCTATAATTTTAAGTATACTTATTTTCATTTGCTATAATGCTAAAATCTCAAGGTCAAGATAGATAACCTCTAAGAAAAATCATGACCCTTGTAAGATATCATTTTTTCCAAAATCAGAAATAAAACTGTTCAGCAGAGGCTACTTCTCTTCTTCATAGGTCAATCTCATATCTTCAAATGACTTAGACATCAGTTAAACACAACAGACCAAATCCACAGACATGTATCAGGCACTAGTTGTACACAAATCACAGTGTTAACTACTACTAGAAATGAAAAATACTAATATTGAAAAATACCATTCACTGATTGAATTGTTTCCTGCCCTAGAAACAGACAAAACATCTATAAAATACATATCAAATAACTCAAAAAAGACTAACAGTCTGGGCTCAGTCTGGGCTCCGAGTAGGAGCAATTACTAGCCCTATCCATCTGAAAAAGAGAAATGTCGTATTATAAGGTATTAGGAGTTATTAAATGGATTTAATATACTTTGGTATTGCTCAGTCATTTGCCCAAAAAAAAAAAAAAAAAAAAACTTGTGCCAGAGATGCTGTTTCCTCTAGTAGCCATTCTTTTGATACCTGAATTATCACTAGACACATGGTCATGCAGCACACAAGCTTACTTTCCTATTTCAGATACAAGCCTATTATAGATATAATTATATGATTATGTTCTTGCCAGTAAGATAGGAGCAGAGGTGATATGTACAACATCCAGATACGCCCTTAAAAGGACTGAGTATACACTTCTCTCTGCTGTTCCCAGCATGATGGTGGGGCTGGAATAGCTATCTTGGCCTCACAGAAAGAAGCCACATATTGAAGATAACAGACTCCTCCCCCTCCCCACCCCCACTACAGCCCTGGACCACTTTATCTCCTTATCTTTCTTATTTCTTATTTAAACCATCATTAATTTTGCATCTTTGTTAATGCATTCAAATGTCTGTATTGTAAATAACACAGAACTTACCTGAACCTAAAGATCCATCAGCATTGCTGACTCTTAAAATTTAGTTTCATTTGATTGGATCCTGGTACCAAAAAACAACCAGGTATAGAAGACATTGGAACAACTGGGGAAATTGGAATATGACCACATGTTAAAAAAAAAAATTAGGGGGGCGCCTGGGTGGCGCAGTCGGTTAAGCGTCCGACTTCAGCCAGGTCACGATCTCGCGGTCCGTGAGTTCGAGCCCCGCGTCGGGCTCTGGGCTGATGGCTCAGAGCCTGGAGCCTGTTTCCGATTCTGAGTCTCCCTCTCTCTCTGCCCCTCTCCCGTTCATGCTCTGTCTCTCTCTGTCCCAAAAATAAATAAACGTTGAAAAAAAAAAAAACTTTAAAAAAATTAGGAACTGTTAAGTTTCTTAAGTGTGATCATGGTATTATGATTATGAAAGAGAACGTTCTTTATTGGGAGATATATGCTATAATATTTATGAGTGAAGTAGCACAAGATCTGTACCTTACTTTTAAGTGGTTCGTTAGAAAACATCTGTGTGTGTATACACATGCATATATACATTAACAACTATTGACTCTAGATGGTGGAAATATGGTGTCCATGTTACTTTTTCTGGAACTCAAATTTCTTCACAATAAAAATATAGACAAAATAAAGCGTTTAAATATATACCTTTTGTATATAAATGCACTTTCTTAACAATCAGAGAGGGAACTGAACATTAGTGAATTGAGTGGGACCGGGGAGGAGAACAATAAATTTAATCTTAATAAGTCAAGAATCAGAGAGACAAAAAAAAAAGAATCAAAGAGACAAAAGAAATCCAATCAATAAAAAATTTATGCAATGACTCTGACCTTTGATGGCGAGTATTACTGTAGCCAAAATGTATTCTTGATGTCTGTATTATTAAAGAATATGAGGTCAGAGTATGTGTATTTCCAAGTAGAAGTGCCAACAAAATTTGAATTCATTTCAGTATGTTGAATGCCACTGAACTACAAATCTTCAGACTCCCAAAGACCTAAAAGAAGTGGTCCTTATAATGTAGGTTCCAAGACCACCAGCATCAGCATCATCTTGGAAATGCAAATTCTAGGGCTCCTCTCTAGCTCTACTAAATCAGAAACTCTAGTGATAGGGTCCAGCAATTCTAGGTTTTACCAAGCCCTAGAGGCTATCTGATGCATGCTAAAGTTTGACAACCACTGCCTTAGCATGGTAAAACAAAGAGCTAGAGCTTGGAAAAAACCTGAGCCCCAGAGAAAACTTGGCTCCTTAGCATGGCACTATATGAAGTCTTATTTCCTGAAATTCTAGCAATATAGAAGAGAGTGTTTATACTGCAATGTCCACATGGGCTGCCTCCAGAGTCAGATAATCTGGGCTTTGAGTCTAACTCCACCAATTATTAGCTGTGGGCTCCCGGCTCAAGTCTCCCTATCTGCAAGATGGCACACCTACCTTAGTTAGCTTTTGTGAGAATTAAATGAAGTAATGGATGAAAACTAAATCCAGCAGGTGGCAAATACTCCATCACATTATAACTTTATAAGTATTTTCTAAGTCTCATACTACATGTGTATTAATGTTTAACTACCTGCTGATTCCCACATACATCATAATGGTGTATGGTTCCTTGATTTTGCTTATATTATGACCTTTCCCAAAAAAATTCTTACATTTATTCTCCTGGTCTAATGAACATCTGCTGGCAGCCTCTTGGTCATCCCTTCTCCTCTCTTCCTATCTCTAGTCATGAGATATGAAGAAGACTGACTATATTCTAAGCTTGACAATAGGCCCTGGCTTACCAATTAGTGTCTCACTAATCACAGTGATTGGTTCAGGGATAGGTATGATTTACAGCTAAAATTAACTTTCTGGGTTTAGCTAGAACTAGAGAAAAACGTACTCTTCCCCCTGAGGAATATGTGAGGAAGATAAAAGTCTCAAACCACAGAGGTCATTTGGCTTTTGCAAAGGAACAATTAAGAGAAGGCCATGGAAGACATGTTTGAGCCACAGTATCAGGTCTCACTTGGAGCCAAACCTACCTGGGAACATTTCAGGGAATAAATTCCATAAATACTGAAGCCACCTTGAGCCACTCTGTCCCTGAATCAAGTCAATCAACCCATTTGTCCTCTGAGAGACATGACAACATTAGGCTCATCTCTTTCCCCCTCAACCACCCTCCACGTGTGATCCCATCCTCACCTCCATCTTACAACTAATCATCAATTGAAATGATCTGTTTTTGTGTTTCTTGTTCACCCTAAACTAAACGCAAAGGCAGGAGCCATGTCTTACTCATCTTTGTAAATCCAACAGCGATAAAATGCCTGGCACATAACAGATGCACTAATAAATGTCTCTTAAACTGAAGTAAGCTAGGCAAAATAATTTATTCATCTAAAGTTCAGATTGGCTGAGATTTTATTCTATGTGTTTCACATACTGCATTTGAAGTATGTGAAAAATGCTTTATTTATTACAATCCTGGCTGCTGATATTTAGAAAAATGTAGGGATCAATCCAAAACATTACTCAAAAATAAATAAATAAATCCTTCAAATCGCTGCTTTGGAAGCCACTTCAGAATACATACCAAAGGCTCCCCTTACAGATAATGGGAACAGAAAGAACAGTCCAGAGAAGCCATGAAAGTTTTGTAGTTCTGATAAAACACAGCCAACAGGAAGCCTTCATAAAACCGATAGGATTTCAGGAGCTATTTAAATGACCTAGCCCTGAACTGTACTCAAAGAGTCCTTACCACATGCTCAGTATTCTATTAGGAGCTGTAAGAAATATAGAACAACAGGAATAAAAATTACTATTGACATTTACTGAGCACCTGTTCTATTCCTTCCTTTGTACTAAACATTTACCCAGCAAATTAGCTACAATCTTTAATAACTCCAAAAGGCGAACAACAGTCCCATTTGACATGAGAAGACTGAAAACCACAGAGCTTAAATAATTTGCCTCATGCCAAAGAGTGAGAAAATGACAGAGCTAGGACTCAAATGAAATCTCACTCTGTTATATCTTACATGTTCCCGAGGAGGCTCCATTATACCACACTAGATCCATTTTAAAAATTAACATAAGCTAACATGTAAAATCGAAGTGATGTGAAACAGACTAAGTACTACAGACCATCAAAGAGCTTCATTACAGTGAACAGTCTGAGAAAGATTTCATGAGGTAGGATGTATCCCTAGACTGAGAAGGATAGGGATAATGAAGAGCATTCAAAGGTATGAGTAAAGAAAGTTTGGGGGAGGGAAAAGGAACATACTAGAAGACACAGAAGCAATTAGACTTGACCTAGTGCAATGCAACAAGTTTTACCAACAGGGCATGAAACGTAAAAGCAAGCAGTAGATTGAAAAGATGACAATATCTTAATGATGCTTCCTCAAAAATGATGACTTAACTATACAGAGAAAAATAAAACAGCTTTTAAAGTTGAAATAATTAGGAAGGTTGGAGATTTCATCAGAATTTAACATCTGGATATTTATCCTATTGATCTTTAACCATGATGAGAAAAAACTAACCATTGTGATTTCAAACCTTATTTGCGAGATCTGGGAAAGAGTTGAGAAAGGACTTAGCAAAATCATTTTGAAAGGGTATTAAAAATCATTCCCTTTTCATTTTCAAAGGCAAAGAAAAATTTCGTGTCTGTGGGGATGGGGAGATGGAGGCACGAAAGTTCTATTATGGCAGCCTTGCAAAATGAACACGATAAATACTGTGTTTCATTTCCTGGTGTTAAAATATCATGTAGCCAAGGCTTTAACATGATGCACAAACATGTTGA